GGGTGGGGGAAGGAGAGGCTAAAAAGAATGGGATATATTTGAAAGCTGTTTAACATTTATAATTGCTCCATTGATTCTTTGAGTTTAGTTGATATCAATTCTTTGCTTTGGCTTGTCTTATGATACACAACCTGGAAACCTTAGAATTTAAATCTTGCTTTATTGGTATTTTATTTCTAATCTGATATTGTGATTTGCATTTCAAGTTGTACACTATGCATTGTTGCACAAGACAGCTCCCCTTCTGTGTCCTAAAGTTTCATCTTTCTAGTCTTTGATTAGTGACTTCATCATGTTCTAGTTTGCTTTATACTGATGCAAATCTAATATAATTCTGTCAAATCCGTATTTATTCACAGCTGGGATTAATTATAAGGACTGCAACATTGGGCCATATTCCTCCATACAGCTTTATCTTGGTGACAATGGGCAGCACTGCTGTTTTACTTATTGGGTGGAGAGCACTACTTTTTAGCATTTTCCCCAACAAAACAAACAAGAAGAACGATGTCTACCGACGTGGCAGTCCATTTGAGCTATTTGAGGTATGAAGAATCCACTACTTGGCTAGAATTATGACATTTGTACTGGTAGCTTTGTATTGTGGAAGTTCTTAGTAATGGCAAACTATTAATTTGCTTAATATGATACTAAACATTTGAAACTCAGTTCAGATGAGTAATGGAACTTATGGGTGATTAGAAGTAACCATCTTAGAATTCCTCATACACATCTGGAACTGGAAGTGTGCAAAGTACTTCCGCATAGATGACAAAGCTATCTGAGTTTATGTCCATTTGGTTGGTAATTTGGTGGTGAAAACTGAAATTCTGGATATAGCAACCAACTTCTGAGATGATATTGAGTTTTCCTTGCTGCTACCCATTTTGCATTAGGCAATAAATTTGTGAACTAGCCAAGCATTGATCAAAAAGGGAAACTGTCAACCACATGCTGAGGAAATTTCTTTTAAAGATTTTTTTTTTTTGCTTTGGGTCAGCTTTCTCTTAAAAGAAATTACTGTATACATACAGAGATGAAAATTTCCAAGTCTATTTTTCTATGTTCCTTGATCTTCTACTTTGGTTTCACGAGTGCTGTATTTGATAGCTTGAGTAATACTTGTCCCTTTTGACTATGCTGCTTGATTTACTGTTACTCTTCACTGCTGCTCTAACACCCACAAACTGATTCCTAATGGAGGATCATTTTCCTTTTTCTTTGTATTTTTGCAGTTGTTGACATCATTGGTACGAAGGTGGTAACAATGATACACAGTTACTCTGCCATGAACCCTGCTATGAATATTTTTTCCTAGGATTGGCATTGGAGCATGTCCATGGGAAATTGGAAAGAGGATGATAACTACATGTAAACTCTTTTTCCCACTTCTATCCAAAATTTGCAATTACCCAACTTGCATATTGCCAATTGCCTTCCAGGCCCAATCGCACCAGACGGTAGTACAAATCATGACTCAAGATATATGACTACCGTCTCGGATCAAAAGAAAAAAGCTTGACGGAAACATATCAATCATTTGATAACGTGGCTTCCTCTTAATTTAATGATTAATATTGTATAATTTAAATTGTAAAATATTTTTTCAAATAAAGTAAAGTACTCTCTGCAATTGGTTCTCAGAGCCTTTTGTGCAATTATACGAAAACTTGAAAAACATATTTGCCATTTTTCCTAATGTTTCTATCATTGATATCCTGTTTCTCTTCTTACTGCACCTAACTTGAATCATCACGGCATGGTATCTCTCTTCCTAATCTTATCCGCGGCATAGCATGCAACTTTCAGGGGAAAGTACCGTCTCCAGAAGGCGCTGCCCTTTGTCCTCGGAAAGTGCTTAAAAGTGTTTAGTTGATTAGGAAGAAATACCGGCGGAAGAAAAACTCTCCTCCATAGCTTGTTCCCAAGAAATCTTTTGTTTGTTTTCCAGGGAAATCACATCCCTGGTTTTGCCAAAAAGGCCAGTGGGTTTAAGTCGGGAGATTTTGTATGCAATTGGGAAAATCCCGAATGACAGGACACCTCTTTAGGTGACACATCATCTGCATTGCGTCGATTGAAATATGAGTTGAATTGGTGGGAGGGAGCTGCAGCCGTCATGGCAGACCCCTCTGTTTCCAAGTGTCGCATCAGCTAGAAAACCATTCACAATTTGACCATCATCTTTCTTCCCTGCTTCGATCCCATGAAATTATACAGGTGTACTCAACATAAAATCAGCATTTAATTTAAAATTAATTAATAATAAATAAAATAATTTTTTATATTTGATTTATATATTTTTTATATATTTAATCCACATAATATTTTTTTTTTTGTTTTAGACTCATGAGATTTTTTCACAAACAACCCTACTATGAATAATAGATCTTGTCACGTGATTTAATATATCTCCTTAAATGTAAGTGGAGAATCAATTTCAACTTCAAGTTCTATCAAGTTGATTAATAATGAATTTTTCATGACAAAATTTAGACTCTAATACTATATAAAATTATACATATGAGTTCAACACAAGATTTATATCAAATTTAAAATTCATTGACAATAAATAAAAGAGCCCTCTTTACACCCACATATTTTTTTGTATATTTAACTCATATTTTTTTATTTTAAATTCAACGTGGGATTTTTTCACTTCAAATTGTATTGCTACAATATTTCCATGACTTCCCGGTTGCAGAGTGAGTATATTTTTCTTCTTTTTCAAGGCTAAATATCTAACAAATTGGACATAATAACATTTTCAAATTTTAGATTTATCTTTCATTAACATTTTTCATGACAGAGAACTTAGGCTATCATAACTTGAATTGAATTCAAAGTAGCTTTATAAGGTTTATTATCTTGGGATTTGACCTCCATGAAGCTCATAACAATTGGGAAAAGGAGTGTGTCCTCACCCCCTAACTGAGCATTAATCTCAATAGAACTTAGTAAAC